GGTTTTTTATTTCAGCGTAAAAATCAGGCTCAAAGCTGAAAAATCGATTACAAAAACAAGAAAATTCGGCAATTTTTGACTGAAAATAAAGTAATTTTTCGAATTTTCAACTTTTTTCCAGGAAAAAAAAACATTTTCATCACAAATATTGAGATTGAAGCTGATTAACTGTGAAAAACAAGAAAAATCGACACATTTCAGACAAAAAACTGGTAAAATTTTCAAAATTTTCCAGAAAACAGCTTAAAATTATGCAAAAAATGGGTTTTTTAATAGAAAATCTGATAGAAAACAAGTAAAATCGATAAAATTCCGTTGAAAACCGAACAATTTAGGCGAGAAAAGCCGAAAATTCGTTTTTATGGGGTTATTCATGTAGCGAAAATATGTATTGAAATGCATTTCCGCGCCCTCGAAATTCAATGCATGAGCGTCGCGAAATGTATTTCAAAGCATTTTGCGACATAACTGTAAATGCATTTCAATACATATTTTCGCTACATGAATAACCCCATAAAAACGAATTTTCGGCTTTTCTCGCCTAAATTGTTCGGTTTTCAACGGAATTTTATCGATTTTACTTGTTTTCTATCAAATTTTCTATTAAAAAACCCATTTTTTGCATAATTTTAAACTGTTTTCTGGAAAATTTTGAAAATTTTACCAGTTTTTTGTCTGAATGTGTCGATTTTTCTTGTTTTTCACAGTTAATCAGCTTCAATCTCAATATTTGTGATGAAAATGTTTTTTTTTCCTGGAAAAAAGTTGAAAATTCGAAAAATTACTTTATTTTCAGTCAAAAATTGCCGAATTTTCTTGTTTTTGTAATCGATTTTTCAGCTTTGAGCCTGATTTTTACGCTGAAATAAAAAACCAGTTTTTAATTGAGAATATGTTTTTTTTTCTGTGCAAAATTCGAAAAATCCATTAGACTCAGCCAAAGTCACTAAAAAATCAGTTTGTATTCTCTTTTTTGATAGCTCTTTCCAATCTCTTCTATATTTTCTTCGTTTTAAAAGTCACAAATATTTCAGTTTTCCCACAGCAAAAATGGAGGACTTACCGAAGCCGATCCCATACGACTACGAAGCATTAGTTATTCGGCCGTGTGGTGCTGAATATCAGCATTATGAGACAGATCTCGTTCTGATTCTCAAATCTCAGAGGGTTTGTTTTGTTTTTCCTAATGACAATAACAATATTTGTTTTCAGGAACGATACACAAAGAACCGCATCTACGGAATCAGCAGGGAAGCGTTCCTTCCACCCGTCATCGAGAAGAGCTACGATAATTTCGAGCTAGCCAAAAACCTAGAGTGGGTTGAATTATGGGAATGCAATAAAAAATAATCTATTTTTCAGGAGACGCTACGCGACTCCACTCAAATTCGGCGACATCGTCATATTTAACGATTCGGACATCAATCATCACGAGAGCTTGATTCTCCGATTCAAACGCGAAAAACCACTATATGAGGTGTCTTCGAACAATTTTGGTCCACTTTTGAGAATCGGTGGCGTCATTAGTCCAATGAAGCTGAACACTTTCTGGACTCCATTGGAAGACTTGGTCATTCGTAAGCAAAATTTTCAGCCTGGAATTTTTTAAAGCTCTGCCTTTTCCAGCAACCGATATAGCACCACTTGCCGAGCCGAACGTATGGCTGACGGCGTGGATTCGAATCGAAACTAACATGTTGCACAGCAAGGACAACTATCATCTGGAGTACACGTTCGACTCATTTGCCGGTTGCGATCCATCAGACCAGGCACGCGTTGCCGCAGCTCCATGGCACAGTCGATCTATCGATTCCCAATTCTCAATGTTGCCTGCAGAGCCAACACCGTGTGAAAGTGACGATGAAATCGATTTGGAGCCGAGAAAGGATATCTACGTCAAAGAGGATAAATGGGCGGAGAAAATCAATCGACAACTGGGTCTGTTCGTTGGTGGACGTCTTCTTTTGTGCAAAGATCTACCACAATACGATTTCATCATCCCACTTCTGAAACCAGTCGCCGTCGCTCCCGGAGAGGATAGAACATTCATCTACCCATCAATTGGAGAATACTTCCACTTCTGCGCCGTTTGGTCTATTCACCACAAAGGCTTCCTAGTCACCGAAATGCTGCCATTCCAGATTCTTAGAGGATATTCTACGAGTGTCAGTGGAAATGTGAGTTTCTTCAATTTTATCGTTTTTTTTTTCAAATATTAATATTTACAGATTCTCGTCCGTGTCAACCAAGCATCTCTCGGTGGACTCTTCACCGACTCAGACAGCAGTCTCGGATTGTTGGACGATCCATATCACACATTGTGCTTCTCTGAGTTCCATCCAGCTGCTCACGGTGGATTGAAAGCGTTGGTTGAGGTCCACGCAGTGCGTTCCTCTGAAAACCGTTCCGTGCGTTGGCGTATCGTCCGAACGATTTACGAGGACGATCACGTGTCGAGATTCGCCTCATGGCTGGCAGCGGCGACTTTCTGTGTTGGACCGATCCATGGAATGGTTATCAGCAAGGATACGGTGATCAGCGGCGACTATCCGAGCGTCTACTTCCGTTTGCCTCCAAATTCCAACTTGATCGCTGGATGTGGAGTTCGATTCCGCGGAAGACGAGCGGCAGGAGTTAACAGCGAAATCATGATCGAAGAGATTCACACCAATCCGAAATTTTCGGCAAGAAAAGTGATCGGACAAGAAGAGAATGTAAGCCATAAATCGATATTTTCTTTTTTCAAAACTTTAATTTTAGCTTCTCTTCCAAGTACCACTGAAGATGATTCTTGGCCATGAACAGCTGGCAAGAAATGAAGTCTTCGGTCCAGTGGATATGCGACAGTTGGATCCACCAGAGGACACTGATGATGGGGTATTCTACGCATGGGTCCGGGAATCACCAACAATCGACAATTGCCGTCGTGCATGCACTATCATGGAAGTTTTCTCGGTCGCACTGAACACACCACTTCTTCCTGCTCTCAGTGGATCTTCGAGAAGTGGAAGTCGCCATAGCGGTTCGTCACGCGCAACACTAAGTAGCAGCTCGCACGGAGGATCAACATCGTCTCGCAATTCTACCAGATCTATCAACTCGAATGTGAGATTTTCAAAAATCGATAGTTGGAAATTGTAATTGTTCTTTTTCAGAGATTCGTCGGTGGTCCAGCTCGCAGCACTCCGGGTAGCATCAGCAACAGAGGAGCTCCAAACGATTCGGATGCTTGATCATTCATCAATAATTTTTACAGTGTTAATTTAACACAGTTGAATCATATGTTTCTACTGTATTAGCACCCAAGTGCTCGTTTTCTCACTTTTTCTGTTTGGTATTCTCTTCTGTTACATTTTTTTCCATGCGCCTATAACAATTTTGTTTCTTTTAAAAACGTTTTGAATTTTCCACAAATTCGTCTAGAAAACCTCAAAAACCAGCGATCTCATCTGAAAAACCTGAAAATTTCAGAAGAGTGACCCAAAACATTTGTGTTTATCATTGAATAGAAGACTACACAACAATGTGTGATAAGAGGTAACAAAGAGCACGTGCAATGTCTCTTTCTCCCTCTTTTTCGTTGTCTCTCTCGTTCTCCAGAGAAATATGATCGACTTTGAAGATCACTTGTCTCATTCATCCACTGATCAGTTCTCAATATTCTTCTTATTCTTATTTATTCTCATTTTATTCATTTAGTTGAGTTTAACAACTGGAAAAACTAAAAAGAAAATGTACAAAGCCTACGAAGCCTTCGTCAAATACACCACTAATCCCAGGTAAAGTTTTTTGTTCGTTTTAAGATTTTTTTCAAGTTTCATCAATTAAAAAAAAAAGTAAAATTACACTTTTCTAGTGTAATTGTACACATAAAACTGTCAATTTGGTCAGTATAGTATAGTACAGCCTTGTAATCATTTTTAAACACTTTCCAAAAAACCAAATGAAGGTGGCCACCTGCCGGACTCGAACCCCCGCCGCGCGGGCAAAACACCAGTGCGCAACCACTACACCACAGTCGGCATTGCGAAATGTGGTGGAGAGGACATATACAATCCTCCCCCTTTCCGCTCTTTTTCCTTGACCTCTCTGATTGAAAAACAGAAAAGTAAATATTTGAAAAACTTATTTTCGGCCAATTTTTGATTTTTTCAGGGGATTTATGCCCAATTTTGATAGAACATTCTAGATATGCCGAAAGAAAAACTAGATTTAACAGGGTGTTCGATGGCCTTTAGATTGTACACATGTAATCCGTTTGAAAATCTTCAATTCGGGTGATTTTTCTCTATTTTGGTCTTTTTAAAGCGATTTTTGTACTTTTTTCTCTCAAATTTTTCAATTTTTGTCTTATTTTTTGGAATCAAAAAGTTTTTCTTTTTTCCAAGAAAAACCCATCAAGCGCTACTGACCAGCTACTTAACCTGAAGTGACCTAATTCTTTGGATTAGTTGAAAACTTTTGAATCGGAAAGTGAATAGACAATATAAACGTTTTTTATTTTCCAATTTTAGACAACATTTGTCTGAAAAGGGCTAAAAACATATGATACATATAACGATTCAAGTTGAAAACTTTTCTGTAAACACTTCATCTGAAAATTGTCTGTTTTTTTTTCTTTTTCTCACTTTTTGTAACAATCGGGTATTTCTTCTTTTTCTGAAATTTACGCTTTCTTTTCTGAAAACTTTTCTGGAACTTGAAAAAATAATTTTCCAGCTTTTTTTCTCCAAAATTTGTATCAATTTCGAGTGGCTAAAAGTGTACTTTGTACTTGTCCAATTGTTTTGAAAGTTTTACAGTATACTAAACAAAACTAGGGTTTTAATTTTGGTGGTTGACAACTTTTTTGTGCAAACGGGCGCTAACGAGATACGCCAGCTTTTCTGAGGAGCGTCTTCCTTTATCGCGCTTGTCTAGAAAAGCGGGCGTATCTCGCTAGAGCGCGTTTGTACACAAAAGTTGTCAACTACAAAAATGAAGCTCTAGGGTTTTTTGGTACACTTGCAAATTTTCAGAACTATTGAACAACAACTAAGTATTGTTGTAGCCGCTTTAAATTCACATATAATCCGTGCCTTCTTAAGCCGCATCACAGCTGAACTACGAGGACACTAGATACACTTTGAGCTTAATTATCTCACTTCTCGTAAAAGATATCAAAAATCTGTCAACTGATAAAATGTAGCTGATATTATGACACACATTTTATCAGTTAAAAAAGTTTTGATACCTCTTCTGGGAACTGAGATAATTGAGTTCAAAGTATAGAACAATTTTTTTCACACAATTGTAGCCTCCTATGGGTGTCATTATAACAAAAAAGGCGGGAAACGACAAAATTCCTTGTTTCGTAATCCATTACGTAGGCTACAACGAAAAACACATTGAATAAGAAAAAGACCTGTTTGCCATTCCGAAGATGATGGTCAGTTTTAGAGAGATAGAGAGGATTAGAGAAAAAAAATGGATGTGGGGAGATTAGAGAAATTCCCTCGCTGGTTTTCTAGTCGCTTGCCTTTTTTGGGCTTATTCTTTTCTTATTTTCAATTTACCGTGTAGCTCAGTGGTCCTGCCAAATTGTGTCATATTTATACTTTTCTAAAAGCTCAAAAAATTCTGAATCCGAAAATCTAAATTTCACAAATTCGGTCGGAAACTAATGGAGATATGATAATAGCCAAACTGCGTAGCTCTGAAATTTCAGTCTAATCCTAATGGGAGGTTTTACCTCGAAACACAGCCATCTCACGGCGGTTCATGATGCTACATGTGGTCCCGTAAAAGGTGTTGGTTATGATCAGGTAGGCCAATTTAGTATAGTTGTTTAAGCACCTTCTACTTGCCCGATTCATCTCAAACTTTTAGAGTGTACTGAACAAAACTAGAGCT